CTTTTCATATAATCTTGAGGACAAGTTACAAAAACACATTTTATAAACTACTTTTAGATCAATTTAGATTGAAAACAACTAACACATAATTTTTTCCTTAATCTAAATTAAATCATAAAACAAGGTAACACAAAACTTTTGGTGTTCCATAACTTGAGGACAAGTTATGGAGTCCATTCAATGTCATTGAGATCAAAAATTACACTAACAAACAATTTGCACATAATTCCTATGATCTACCAAAACCCAAAAGCATGAACAATCCATATCAACAATTTTCAAAAATCATATAAACATATATAAAACTTGAAACTTTGATAATAACTTTGAAATTGGTTTACCATAATCATTACCACTTTTAAAAAGTGGTTTTATAAGTCTAAAACAGTTAAAGGTAATGATTCTAAACAAATTTCAGTACCAAAACTCGAAAATCTGCACTCAGGCGCACCAACTCGTCGAGTGCATGAACTAACTCGGCGAGTCGGTTGAAGATACACATGAACTCATAGATTTCCTTCATGGAATCGGCAAGTCTAATGTCCAGTGAGCAGTTTTTCGACATTTTCAGCAAACAACATCAAGTATAATTGAAAACAAGCCTAGGCTCTGATACCACTGTTGGGTTTTGAGCATTCTAACACTCCTAAGGTGTTCATGCAACCCTAAATACCTTGGATCTATTTTTTCACTAATTATACATGCAATGGTGTTTCCAAGGTATTAAACCTATAACTATCATATAATTGTCATATAACACACAAGAATCTAGTTAGGATAACATACCTTATGGTGGAGATTGAAGTCTTGATGTATCTAGCCTTAAGAGTTTAGCCCCAATAGTGTGGAAGCCTCAAGTGGAATCACAACACATCATGGACAAAGGAGGAACTTGAGAGAGTATCTCCATGCACCCAAAACCACCATGAACTCCAAGAATACACTAGTATCGATTTTGGGCAATGAAGTATGTATTTATATGTGGGATTTCTAGGGTCATGGATATAACCCAAATCCATACCCATGGGTCTTATGATCCATGGTTCATGTGGCCCAACTCTTTATGTATCCATACATAAACTTGGTGCAAAATAGATCATAAGCCCAACACACATAAATATAACTAATTAACATAATTAGTCCCCATAGATTTAATTAGTCTCTTTTTGATCACTAAATCAATTCTAAATTAATTCTTGATCAATACTAATTAAAACCATATGATTTCATATTAATATATTAGTACTTATAATATATTAATAAATCATATATAACCTTCTCTCAAGAGTCCATCCTAACAAATTGTCCTGATGATATGCAACCCAAATGGACCATGCTACTCTCGGGTCAAGTACATACCAATAATAGTTATGGGCTTAGACATCTAATCCAACAGAAGATTTGGTTGAACATGTGATTTTAGGACTTCAAGGCATCAGGGAATAACTTGTCAAAGTCCTTTCGGAAGCAGAAAATATGAAATGATCCTCGTTTTCTTGGCCATCATATTTATCAGAAGTTTTCAAATGGATCTAAGACATAGCGAAGCTCAAAACCAAGATGACAATTGATTCTTTCCGAGCCACTAAGTCTGTACTTCCTCCAATTCCTGCTCCGAGGATCGCTCAAATTAATGAAGGTTCTCCCACCTGGAAACCTGATGAAATCCCTAAAGAGCCTCTGATTCCTTCTCCATCTGAACTATTCATCATGGAATCTGGGTATCAAATCATCTCATCCATTTTCTGATAAACATGACAAATTCAAAGACAAAGGCTAAAAGATAGACATAAGTTCGGATAGTCCAATGAATTCATTTAGAAACTCCAAGGACTGGTCCCAAGAACAAATTGAACAAGATTTGGAAGAAAGCATACTGATTAAAGCTTTCAAAGACAACGCAAATCTGATGTTGGGTATTTCTCCTCTTTTCCGAGAAGCAATCATTCATGATATACATTTCATGCCCTTCATGAATTTTGATATTCCAACTCAAGATGATGATCAACAGGAATTGCCAGTCTCTCCACATGGATGCTTCTACATCAAGTTCGCACCTCTAGATCCAAACGATAATACTCAAACTATCATCAGAACTGAGCGTGAGAGATTGAGCACTTTTTATTCTACTAACGCACGACCGTAAAAGGAAGTGTGGTCTTTAAAAAGAATCACCAAGATAGTTGGTCATGGTAGAAAATTCCAAATCAAGTTTGATCTTGATTTTCTCCTGTACAGATACTATATTTCTCAGAATAAAGAATCTACCATCACAACTGTAGATGCAGCCTCTCATCGATAAATCTAAATGTCATCCTTGTCATTGCTACTCACCTTTGAGATCGTCAATCAAATGATTCAAGAATCGAAGCCTACAACTTAAATATCTGCTTCTTGAAGGACTACATTGTTGAATTCTGTCGATCAGATGTAGAGTTTGCTGATCTCTTTGGAACACAAAAATTCTTGGCCAAAATCAATACCGAAATTCCTGATGCTCAGATTTTAGCTAAATGACCCATTGCATAACCAAAACTTGGTTACATCTACCTCAAGAAGATGACCAATCAAAAGGAAGTTTTTCAAGTGCTAGACAAACATCTTGTTCCTACCAAGATTCTCTAAAAGTTCATCTCCAATGTGTCCAAAAGTGATTCTTCTGAACATGTGAAAAAGAAATTTATTGAGCGTCTCAGATGGTACATCAAAGTTCGAAGTTAGCTTCAAAGTTCTTATCTATTTGTGTTTGATGAAGCTAAATGATGAGTCAGAAGATTGCTAAGGTCACTTAGCGGGAGATTGTTGATACATGAAAAGTGACTCATTTGGCAATCCGAAGTGAACCAATTTCAAAATGAGAAGTGTTTTGAGATGATGCAGATTCTGAAATGAAGATCTGACTGAGACACATCATTTTCATACTTGTCATATGAGTCTGTAATGTGCATTAAATGTTCCTAGTATTAGTTTGTCACTTAGTAGTTGTTTTATTATTATATACTACATGGGACAAGATCAATAGATGCGGCTTTGTCACTCTTTTGATCTTCAGTTGTCTTTTAGTTCATGCACTTTAGCAGATTTGTCTTATTTTCCATTCCTTATCTATTTAAGGAATTGTAAGTATAGTGTTACATATAGGAGTGCATCATTCTCTTTCACATTAATACCAAGAATCATTCAGTCAAATCACTATGTTTTAAGTTCTTATTGTTCTTAAATTACTTTACATTGTTCATACTTATTAATCATTCATATCTTGAACACTTTGTTGAATATCTCTATTCTGAGACAAGACTGGACTTGACTGTATCTTCATTAGCTGCAGATAGTGATCTTAAGTTAATTTAGGGTTTGTGTTTTCAAACCTTGTCTGCACAGATCGTTCTTGCTTTTACACTTAATTGTATTAAATTCTCCATTAACATCAATAAAAATTCACATAATCTTTCTTTTTCCTTTGCTTTGTTCAATCGGTTTCCTATGTTGCAACCACATTTTTTACAAGTGCTTTGTGGTTTTGGTGAAACCAATTCAATCTCAGACCATACCCCACACAAATTGGTGTAATATGTTGAAACAGACATACCTTCTTGATGAGTGTAAGTGAGAGATTGTTTTAGTTCATATGCCCTTGGTGCACTATCTTTTTTGAATCTCTCTTGAAGGCCTGACCATATTTCTGCTAGAGTGATGGCATAATTTGCGCTAGTTCCGACGTTTTTCTCCACAGCCTTCCTCAAAAATCCTTTCACGATTGTGTTGCATCACATTCAGGGCATGTAGTTAGTCGAGGTATCTTCTTGTTTCTTGATAGCCCCGTCGATGAATCAAAGTTTGTTTTTGGCAACGAGGAAATTTAACATCTCTTGTGACCAGTTGTAGTTATTATATGTGAGGAGATCATTGACTTGCATTTGTCTTCTGTAATTGGAGGCATGAATGTAGTATGAAGAGTTTATGTGAATGGCATTGCCATTATCTTTGTTGGAGGACGATTCTGGTTGTCCGGTCATGATGAAGCTGTCGGGTATGTACTATGAGTCGGATCTCTAAGAACCGTTCTGATAGCATAAAGATTTTGATAATCCGAAAGCTTAATAATATCATTCATCTCAAGGGTGTAAATACAGGAGAAGAAAAGTTAATAAAATGAAACAAAAGATAAAGACTAACTAAGTACTTAATCTAGATAAACTAGGGACACTTGGAGGACAAGGAGACTTGGACCACACACAAGAATGGTCGATTTTCATTAATTTTTTTTTTGCATAACTGCTTAATTAGTGACATTTTGTTTGTCTCTAACAATAAATATTTTATTGACCACTTTGTTCGTCACAGTAGTCAATAATAACATAACCAAAATCAATAAAAATTTTGTGGTCACTTAAATATTCACGTCGCTAATTGTATAAAATAACGACGACTTTCGTTGATTACTGACTACATTTAGTTTCCAAATATGACCAATATATTTTAGTCACCAATCTAGTTTTATCCAATTCATTAAATTTTATTAAGAAAACTGCGCTTCCTTTTTTCTTAATGTTTTATTCAAATTTATTATATTAATGTAATGGCAAATCTAATATATTCAATGTTATTAATACAAAAGGCTAATATTGTGCGGTATAATTAAAATGTAAATGGAGCGGTATAATTAAAGTGTAAATGGACCACGTATTATTTTTTGTCCTTGCATTGGTTTTAATGGTGGTGTAGCTACGTTAAAAATATATAGGTTGACTACGTACCATGGCTGGTTTGAAGGCTTCCACTCCACTCCTTTTTTCTCATGGTCCTCCACATTTTTGGTTCATCTCTACAGTTGCATACAAATCACGTAATATGGCCATGAGGGTATCACACATTTACTTCATCGACTTCCTACACATTGAATTTTTCAACGCTACTTATGATTCAGAAGTCAAAGTTGTTGACAAATGAGTTGCCTTATATACAGCTGCACACATTATTTCGCACAAAGATAAACAGTAATGGCTTCTGTGAATTGGGTATTAGTTATAACTGAGTTTTTTATTCTTTCACATCTTGTTGGTCTCACCATTACCCATGCAGATTCTCGGTGCGGAAAACTAGGAAACTTTACCCAGAACAGTGCATATGAAAAGAACCTGAATGATGCGTTATTGGCTCTTGCAGAAGCACCCACCGGAAATAGTTTCTTTTCAAGATCTTCAAATTCTTCACAAGACAATGAGTCAAGCACAGCTTATGCCATCGCAATATGCCCCGGAGACATTCAAAATGATACCTGTCTTGGCTGTGTGAGGGGTGCACCCAATCGGCTAAAACTGGAATGTCCTAACCAAAAGAAAGCCACAGCTTGGTATTATCGTACCTGTATTCTCAGCTACTCCAATAGCAGCTTTGACATACGTGATGGCTATGAGGAAGACGTTCTATCCTTTCCAGCAAGGTATATCCCTAATTGGGATTTAGTCGTTGAGACCCTAATGAACTTGTTGAAACAGTTACTCGATACAGCAGCTACTGATGGTTACAATCAAACATTTTACTTTGAAAGCGCCAGTTTACCAAGTTCTCGGGGAGATATTGAAGTGACTATGCAATGCATTCCGACTATATCTCTCAACAAATGTGAAGAGTGTTTGGTTAACGCTACTGAGTATCTACTAGCATCGTATAATGGAAGTACTGACGGATTAGTTTACTACAGATACTCATGTTTGATAAGATACATAATAGATCTTGTTAACACTGTGGATCAATCATCACCAATGCCACCAACAAATTTGCCATCAATTCCACCTCCAGGTTCATTCTGACATTCCTTGTTAATATTTATTCTTTGATGAAATTTATATAATAGTTTAGTGGTGCACAAAAAGTTTGTGGCATGTTGATATTTGATATATATCCTTGAAGGGAAAAATAGATCAAAGGTCATCGTTCCAGTAGTAGCAGTGGCAACAGTAACATTGGCCATCTCGACCTTCTTTATTTGCCTAAAGGTTCGAAGGATCGGCAGTAAAAAAGGTAAACAAGATTTAACAAGTAGAATATCACTATATACAATCACCCATCAAGGAGTGCAATAACAATCTTTGTGTAGAGGAAGAGGAAGAACTGTTTGAAGGATCAGATGATGACACTGGCGAAATTATTTACTTCAGACTAAACAAAATTCAAGCCGCTACTCGTAATTTCTCGGATGCAAATAAGCTTGGAGAAGGTGGATTTGGTTCTGTTTATTGGGTAATAACCAAAACTATATCCATATACACTGGTTTCTTTTCTTTAGCTAGTTTAAATTTATCAGACGTATTATTAATCGCAGGGAATCCTCTCTGATGGTAAAAAGATAGCAGTGAAAAGACTTTCCCAAAACTCAAGTCAAGGAATGAAAGAATTCAAAACAGAAGTAAAACTAATAATAACGCTACAACACAAAAATTTGGTGAAGCTTTTGGGTTGTTGTATGAAAGGGAAGGAAAGGCTCCTTGTTTATGAATACATGTCTAACAGTAGCCTTGATAAGTATCTTTTTGGTTTGTTCTCCAACCCTTTCTGCATTTCTCTTTTTTTATAGACCTTGTTAACGTTATGTATTTAATTATGTGTAACTTAGTTTACTTTTATGATAGAAGATCCTAAAAAAGCAAAAGAACTGGACTGGGCTAAGCGTGTCAACATAGTGAATGGAATAGCAAAGGGTCTTCGTTATCTTCATGAGGACTCTCGACTCAAAATCATTCATAGAGACCTCAAAGCTAGCAATGTTCTATTAGATGACGATCTGAACCCAAAAATATCAGATTTTGGCACTGCGAGAATTTTTGGATCTAATCAAATTGAAGCTAATACTAACAGAGTTGTTGGAACCTAGTAAGCCAGATATACAGTTTATAGAAATTAATATATTCAGTTATTTAGGTTAACTGAATTAAAGTTTGTTGTGAACCTTGGACAGTGGATACATGGCACCTGAGTATGCAATGGAGGGGTTGTTCTCAATCAAATCTGATGTGTATAGTTTTGGTGTTCTTCTGCTTGAAATTATTTCTGGGAAAAGGAACAGCAGGTTGTTCTACGAAGAGCATGATCAAAACCTTCTCTACTATGTAAGCCAAATTATTATCATTACTGTCTTCTACTTTTCATTTCAATTAGAAGATTTTCTATTTAAGAATTCTCACTTTTTCAAGAAGTGGCTAATTTCTAACAATGGACCATATTACTTTGACAATTCAAGGCATGGATGTTATGGGAAGAAGGAAAAGGAGAGCAACTGATAGATGAAAATATGGATGATGATTGTCCTGTCGATGAGGGTCTCAAATGGATGCGTATTGCTCTACTATGCGTTGAAGAAGATCCAAATGATCGTCCCACTATGTCTTCGGTCGTTTTTATGCTTGAAGGTGAATGGAAATTTCTTTCTGATCCTAAACCACCCATGTCATTCGGCCAATTTATCACCTTTGATAACTTTTCGTCAACTTGGAATGGCGATGAATTTGGGCTTTATTCAGCTAATGAAACTCAGACAGGGAAATCTTCAGAAAGTAGAGGCATCGGTGATCGGGGTGTGTAATGAATGTACTGCCGTTTTTATTCTTTTGTATAGATATAGAATGTAGTGTGTTCAGCATGCATTGAATATATTCATCTCATACAAAAAAATCTCCTGAAGTAATGTCCTAGCTATAGGTATAGATTTGTATTTCAATTATTGTATCCTAATTTGTCTATGGTATATGTTGGGTCACATTTGTCTCAAGCAAGCCACTTGTCCAATTCGTTACAATTGTTTGGATCACAACAACTACAACATTTTTTGTTAGTTTACTGTCACAAAATTAGTTAGAAGGGTAGTTTAGTTTTTTGTTAATAAAGTTTGTCAGAAGATATTTGAAATTAGTTTTCTCTTTCTTTCATAGCAGTAAACAATTAAGATGAAATCATTTCAAATTATGTTACTTTCTCTCGAAGTTCATACACTACAACATGGTATCAAACTATGGTCCTCTCTTCGATCTTGATTTTTTTCTTCATTTCAATCACATCTTCTCTCTTGGATCTTGATTTTCATCATTTCAATTGCATCCTATTCATCTTCTTAGCAATCATTTCTTCATCCAACACTACTGATTCGATTGCATATCATACAGTTAGTGTTTCGAGTCCATTTTTCATTGGATTTTCAGACAATCCTAGTTTTGTTCTCGTTTCAACACTCTTCAATGGCATCATCCCGAAAGCACTCCATGTTGATTTCCTTATCTGCTAAAGACAAAATTGGTTTTGTTGATGGTACATGAAACTTCCCGAAATTTTAAAACCAAAAATTTTGTTTTCATAATAATAAAACCATCAACCAAACATGTTCATAAAACCATAAAAGGAAAATCAGAGTACGTCAATCAATCATCCCAATACAACAAAGTCAAATAAGGTGGAAATTATGGTGTGTGCGATGTGATCATTCCGAGCTCTTCACCTTGGATCCGGAAGTACCTAAAACATAAACCAAAAACCGTAAGCACGAAGCTTAGTGAGTTCCCCAAAATACCTCATACCATAGATATCAAACATACAATGGGTCATGCCCAACAACCAACGGGCCCCGCCCAATATCGAGCCCTGCTCGAAACAGATTTGTTTGTATCATGTGATGGGCCCCACCAAATTCACCCATCAGGCCCCGCCCGGCATACATACAATACATACACACATGCACAGTCACACACATACAACTAGCATACATATAAACATAATCTATGGGTCGACATTGGTGTCTTCGTGTGACAACCGTCAAAACTCAGGTTAGAACTCAACTAGAACCTTGTGACTTCCATGCGTGACATAACTTGGTTTTATATGCAACAAGTTGAGCTAGATCACAACTTAGTAGATCCCTCGGAACAAGTGGTGTAACTTTGCTTGTATTAAGCAGTCATGTTGATATGTGAATACTCCAACTAGGTTGTAAAGTGCCAAAGTTCAATCTCAAAACTAAACACAAAAACCATGTTCTATAGATCACGACTCAAGGGTAAGTTAAATACCCTAACTTATTAATCGGAACATATGAGATGCTTAACTAGTTTAAGTACTTAGCAAACTCAATTTAATTAATCATAATTTGATTTAATTACAAGTTGGAAATAATATCCACATATCATAATTTGAATTATGAGCCAAAAATATAATCCAATCATTGTCTAAACCTACATTCATATATGAACCTTTATTTCATTTATTTGAAATATAAATATTTGATTTTATAAAAATCAATTCATAAGTTATCAGTTTGATTACTTAATTCAAGATAGTACAAGTTTAAGAACTTATTTTTAAAAACAAAATACCAAAATAAAAACCAAAAAATAAACTCTTAGAAGATTGCAAAAATACCTAGAATTTTTATAAAAACTAAAAACCATTTTATAAAAATTGTAAAGAGGCAATATTTAAAAATGTTACAACCATTATGAAGCCTCATAAAGCCTTTTTTTCCCCAAAAATTCGGCCATACCAACCCCTCTACACTCCTTATCTCTCTCTCTCTCTCTCTCTCTCTCTCTCTCTCTCTTACTCTTACTCACTCACTCATTATTGCTCCTTTATGCAAAATCCCGATGTCAGATTTTGCATGTCAATGTGATATGTAACAACCCAAATTTAAAAAAAAAATTCATTTTTAATTAACCAAAATACTTTCCACAAATCCTGAAATCCCAAATACAATTGTTTTCAAATTCGTAACAACAATTTTATTTCAAAACATAGGAGTGTCCCATAATAACGCCTGAGAGAGAGTGCACGCCGCGCCATCAAGCGTTGCCCTATCCCTTGGGCTCAGATGTACATGAAACAATTCCATAAATTGTAAGCTAATGCTTAGTGAGTCCCCCAGAGCAGACCCCACACACAATCCACATAACATATATCAAATTAGCTATAAAGCTACATATATCAAATAAGCCATGCATACAAAATATAAGGAAGCCATGGAAACCCTCCAGGGTCTTACACCTAGTGCCACTGGAACCCCCACGTCGTCTTAATTACCTGCCATGGGATCCCCCACATGGTCTTCCTACCATGGGAACCCCCGCATGGTCTTCTCTACCAAGCAAATACAATGAAAACTAAACACACAATTATATACTAAGATGCCATGGAAACCCTCCAAGGTCTTGTACCAAATCCCACGGGAACCCCCTGGGGTCTTCCATACAAATGTCATACTAACATAACGTATAGTCAATCGATAATCCACATATCATAAAATGGGCCGGCCTCTGTGCCTTAGACCCATTAGTATGGTGAGAAGACTCACCTCCCGAATGTTGAACTGACAAGCTAAGATCAGATATATCCCACGCACTGCTCCTCCTTAACCGCCTATAATCAACATGTGATTAACTTGTCAAAAACGCATAAATACCCTTAAAGCCAACCCTGGTCAAAGTGAAGGTCAACAGTCGATATTGACCTTAACTTGTTGAGTGCATCCTGATAACTCGTCGAGTTCCTCCCGAGTCCATTCCACTGAATCCTATGTCAACTCGCCGAGTCACCTAAGTGACTCATCGAGTTCATCAAATGTCTAGAAAACTGAAAGTTAATGGAATCCCAAAAACCTAATCCTTCACTGCACTCATTCTGAATCTCAAAAACGGGTAAAGACTACCCGACTCGTCGACTCAACTAAGGGACTCGACGAGTTCCTTCAGTCGTTGTTGTGTTCAGCTCTTTTTAATGGGATCTAAGGTCCCAAACTTCAGCTCCACCCTTTCCTAGTGTAGCTACCACATAAAGTTGCAAACTTTACGTGCATGCAAGGCCTCACAAGGATAAAACATCATAACTAAGCTCCCTACAACGTTTTTGTGCATGTAAAGGGTCTAAGATGGATGAAGAGAGCAACTTTATGTCATTGGGGACCTAGAGAGGTCTAAATTAGGAACCATATCCTTGTGATAAGTCCAGATCCGAGTATGACTCCATTTTGCACCAATTGCCATTTACTTCTAAGAAAAGGGATCTAATCAACTAGAGATCAAGGTAACGAGTTTATATCTCAAGATGGTGGCCAATAAAGAGTAGATGTCAGATCTACTGCTTCTCTCCTTGCTCCTTCTTCTTCAAGCTCTAAAATCCTTCACAAACACACCAAAATTGCTCACAATAGATCTCTCTCTCACTCAAGAAGGTTCAAGGTCCAACTAGGGTTTTCTCTGGCTAATAGGGTGGTAAGGGAGGCCCCAAGAAGTGTATTATGTTCTTTAAATAGGGTGCAAACCCTAAAAATTAGGGTTTTCCTTTATAGCGCCTACTCATCGAGTCGGGGCCTTCTGACTCATCGAGTAGGATTGAAAATCTGCGTCCTCATAATAACTTCTACTCGGCGAGTTGGAGCTCCCCAACTCGCCGAGTCCATGCACAAAACTTTAAAACTTAGATAAATTAAATAATACATGGAACAGGTGTTACAAATCTCCCCCACTTGAACTAGACTTCGTCCTCGAAGTCTGCTTGCCTAAATAAGTTCGGGTAGTGGTCTCGCATCTCGTCCTCCGTCTCCCATGTCCATTCGGAGCCCCTTTCGGTACTGCCATTGCACCTTTACCATCTTCACTTCCTTGTTCCGAAGAACCTTGGTCTTCCTATCTAGAATCGCAACAGGCCTCTCGATGTAGTTCAGGCTCTCATCCACCTGAATGTCTCCTAGACAGAAGAATGTGGCCTCTTCTGTGACACACTTCTGAAGCTGTGACACATGGAAAGTGTTGTGAATCTGGCTAAGCTCATCCGACAGATCCAAGCGATAGGCCACCTTGCCCACCTAGGTCGTAATCCTGAACGATCTAATATATCGGGGCCCTAGCTTGCCCCTCTTCCGAAACCTTATGAATCGCTTCAATGGCGACACCTTTAGTAGCACAAAGTCGCCCACCTGGAACTCAAGATCAGATCGCCGTCGGTCAGCATAACTTTTCTAAAGACTCTGCGCGACCTGCAGCCGGTCGCGCACCTGCTGAATCACGTCGTAGTCCTGAGTACTACCTCAGTGCTCCCTATGACCCGATTTCCAACCTCGCCCCAACAAACCGGGGTCCTACATCTCCTACCATATTGCATCTCAAACGGGGGTCGGTCGATACTGGCATGGTAACTGTTGTTGTATGAAAACTCTGCCAACGGGAGATATGTATCCCAACTCCCTCCAAAATCCAACACGCATGCCCGAAGCATATCCTCAAGTGTCTAGATCGTCCTCTCGCTCTCGCCATTGGTCTGGGGTGGTACGTCGTGCTATGTGACATCCCTAATTTTCTCGGCCAGAAAAGACTGATTTTGTTTATACTTTTTATAATAAAATCAGAGTAATCCTTCAAAAGGTGTTGCAGAATTTGTCCCCAAAACAAAATATGATAAAAATTTATCAAAGCATTTCTTAAATAAATGTATTTTTCATTTCATCACAAAACTCGGGATGTCCACATCGATACAGACCAAAAGCATAAACAGTATAATATAGGTCTTACAACAGATATTTATATCTACTGGCCTATAATCCAAAAT